ATTTACTTAAGAGCTGTTGTCACACAGCTAGCGTCAACCATATCGCATGAGAGCGTTTAATATAGTTTACACAAGAGTTAACCACAAAATACTTACATTTGTAAACAGCCCCCTACGGATTCGTCAGTTGGTGCTTGGTTGAGGAATGTTAAGTTTGATTTATGGTTTGCGGTTATTTTAATAAACAATCGTTATATGATCAGATAAGACATTAGAATAATATTACTCATAATTTAACCCCACCTTGTTTCCAGTTTCTTCACAGGAGGTGGGGAAAAAGCCGTAGACAGGATAACCTTCCACCAGTAGGTTGATTTTAGTATCTATGAAATGTTCTAAACTGCCCAAGTGTTTACTGTGGACTTTTATGACAAGACTACTTACTCTGTTCAAATATTTCATTTCAATCATATTTGTAGGCCTTAAAATATGTTTGATAAATTTTGACTGAATATACCTTGGAATGTAACACCTGAAACATCACAAATGTTTTGTTTTATCCATGATAATCCACATATGTTTATTTACACAAGAAATCGGTTCCAGAGATAATTAGCTGTCTTTGAAGTTCCTCATCACATGTGTTAAATGATGGAATAATATGAGGCTAAATAATGTTATAATTAGTTGTGCTAGCACTTACTCAATGTATTACATGTTTTATGTGTTTGTGATATTTACAACCAGAAAAGGTGGATGAAACATTGTTATCAAGTCTAGCCTTGTTTCGAACAGATACTACACCAATGGGCATACTGCACAGCTCTCTGATTTTACCGATTCCAAGTTGATGGACCGCCTGGTCAGTGTTATAGACACAGGGCTGGATGTGTCAAGACGCACCAACCCACTTACCCCAGTCTGGCTGGGAGAGACGTCCTCCTGTTATGATGGTGGTGCCCCGGGAATCTCCGACAGATACGCCGCTGGGTTTCTGTACGTAAGACATCAACAGATATTAAACAATGCCCACCTCGTACCTTTGACACCTATACACGCAAAATAATGAACAATGTCTATTCATTATAATTCTTTCCTAAATTATTCCTAAGAAACAAATATTTTTCCTAATTTTGAGGACTTTTGTAAAGTACTCGTAATACAACAGAAGTGTTAATATACTGAGTCAAAAAAGAAACTTCACATTCTTTCTTCAGAGCACTATAAAAGAACAAGAGATGGTAAGATGGTTAAATTGTTATTATTTCATTGCTGTGATCTGTGTGATGTACTCGATACACTGACAGTGCCATAATCGGTTCCATTAGGCTACACCGCCCTTCCAAAACATGGGTATACAGAATGTCAAGTCACAAGAATAAAAATGCGAAATTTCTCAGTTCAATATCGTGTATGGCCGCCCCGCGCATTCACCTCATCGACTGCCTGATGCTTGTGAACACGTGGTTGGGGATTCTGCGCCATTGCTCTTGCAAGGCAGCGCCAAGTTCCTGCAAATTCTGAGGTTGGTTCCTAAGACCACGATGCCTTCTCCCAAGTGCATCCCAAACGTGCTCTATTGGATTAAGGTCAGGGGACCTCGATGGCCAGTCCATGACGTTGATTCAAGCGTTTTGAAGGAAATTTCGTGTCAACATCGCGGTATGCGGCCGAGCATTATCATGCTGGAACTGTAGACCTGGGCCATGAGAGGAACGAGTTCAGGGGTGAGCACCTGGTTGTGAGGTTTTCACGGATGACCAGAAGTCGGGAACGATTGTTCCCATAGAAAGCACCCCACACCATGCAACGTCCGCCCCCGAATTTGTCGACTTCCTTTCGGCATTCCGTTCACGACGTCGTCTCCAGACTATGCCTGCCGTCCGCGAATCTGAGGGTAAACCTGGATTCATCGCTAAAGACGACTCGATTCCAGTCTTTCTGGGTCCATCGGAGGTGACGTTGGGCCAACAGCAGACGTTGAGGTTGATGAAACGGCGTCAATATTGGCCCACGATATCGACGTCGAGAATTGAGATTGGCAGCTCGCAACCGATTTCGAATGGTCTGTGAGGATAGTCGACCTCTGAACATCTCAGCCCTGGTTCGTGTAGCCGGCAGAAATCTGTCACGTAGGTGATGCAGGACGATTTGACTGTCTTCTGCTCGTGACGTCACACGTGGACGACCCGACCTTGGGCGATCAGAAGTGGTGCCAGTTTGTTGTAGACGATACACAGTACGACGGCTGCATCCCATTGCCCTTGCGACGTCAATAACTGATCTTCCCGCTTGCAACATGCCAACGGCACGTTCACATTGCACATTGACAATCGTGGCATTTCAAGTACCGTTAGAACTGTGGTTTAAAAGTGTTTTTTCAATTCTTGAGGCCAATGCAAACACGTGCATATGAAGAAAACTTCAATGCGAAGATCACGTGCAAAACCTAATTTGGTACTAACGTCATTTGCACGACGAATGGATTGGTTTGAGTGGGTTTTGCTAACGTTTTTCTAGAGTCGAAAGATAGGGACCCCATTTCGGATACATAGATGTATCATCAGAGAAATATTATTCATTATTTTTCAAATTACATTTTGTGAAGTTTCTTTTTTGACTCAGTATATAAATGGAACATCTACACCACCTTTTGAAAGTGTACACTGTTCAGGTGGCTGGACAAGCTTGGTATTGCTGCCCGGATGGGGTTGAAAGCAGTGCTGAGACAGGATTTCTACTCTGGAAGCTATGCACTGATTGACACAGATACATTTGAGCCATTGCCAGTAAGTATAGACAACCTTTGATCCATTGCTTGTAACTATAGAAACGACCTTTGGTCCATTACCTGTAAGTAGAGACGACCTTTGATCCATTGCTTGTAACTATAGAAACGACCTTTGATCCACTGCCTGTATGTATAGAGACGACCTTTGATTCATTGCCTGTACGTATAGAGACGACCTTTGATCCATTGCCTGTAAGTATAGAAACGGCCCTTGAGCCATTGCCTGTAAGTATAGACACGACTTTTGATCCATTACCTGTAACTATAGAAACGACCCTTGATCCATTGACTGTAAGTATAGAGACAGCCTTTGATCCATAGCCTGTGCGTATAGAGACGATCCGTTTCCTTCTTTCTTTCTTGATTCTGTAGTCACACGATATCTTTTGGTCAGTTATATCACCGACTTTAATCATACTGTTCACGTCTCTGATTTCACTGATTTCGAGCTGAGTTATAATATCGAATAGATGTTTCAAGTATCCATATTTTGAATCGGTCAGTGTAGTTATTGTTTTCCTCTTTAAAGACACATTTCTGACACTTAAATTAATTTGAGCAATATGTTGAAATGAACGTTTAATGTAGCAACACATGAATGTAGTGACTTTTACCGTTAATGACAGGTTATCAGTTTGTTTTATTCATGTCTTCTACTGCAGGACTACTGGTTAACTGTCCTGTACAAGAGACTGGTGGGAGACGCCGTGTTTTCTGTGGAGGCGAGCGTGGACAACACCACCATCAGAGCCTACGCCCACTGCACAACGCCATCCAAGTAAATTGCAAAATCACAGGTTAAGCAAATGGCGACATATCTCTAATATAAGGGCTTAAAGCTATCGAATTTTCTGAGTTTCTTTCATCATAATGTACGTTTTAAAAGATAGTTGGAATGAACATAAACAATACTGAATTAAGATTCATGTTCATGTCAAGGGAACGGTCCTCTAATATTAAGTGTTGTGTTCTAGTTCCTATGGCTACGTGCCCGGCAGTGTGACGATGTACTTCCTGCTCCCTACGGATAACACTACCTCCATTACGTTTCCACAATTTCCCGGCCAACCTGTAGACGTGTTCTGGCTGACGTCAGTCGGTGGACTCACCAGCAAGTAAGTGTCATCCCCAGACTAGATGTCTTCTAGTTCACACCATTCAATAGACTCACTCATTATTTTCAAAATACCTCCTCCTGTCAATCTACATACACATTCTGGTTTACACCAATAGGTAGATTCACTGTCAGGGATGTCAACAATGAGAGTTTAGAATGTTGCTACGGGTGGAAAATTAACTAAGTAATTCCTTCTGGAAAAGGACACAAATTCACTTGAAACGTGATATGGGTGAATTGCCATTAAAACACTTATTACATCTACACGCAAATATTATTCAGGAAAAATACAATATACAATTATCATGCAAAGTTCATAATCAGTGTTCACCATCTCAGAACCGTGGCCTTGAACAACAACCCGCTAAAGCTTGTCAATAATACCCTGCCGGAGCTTAAACCTAACAGGATGGAAAGAAACACTGTTACCTTCCCCGGGAAGTAATTCGGGTTCCTTGTCTTTCCTGAGGCTGACGTGGCTGCCTGCAGTAGCCAGTGAAGATGTTCACAGAATGATTCAGAAGAACCTGCACCGTCAGCACTTGTTGTAAAATGAAATCTAAACATGTATTCTTGACTCAGTTATCTGTTATTTTGTAATTAAATTAAGTTCATGCCACCTCGATTTTTCCTTTTTTTAACCAAGGTTATGAATTTACGTGATTAACTCAGGCATGTAAAACCAACTGCATCGTGGCCCATATGACGTGAAATATGTTGTATACACATCAGTATCTGCATTACACTCGTGACTGAGAGCAAGACCCGAAGGCTTCAATACATCTTTACCCTAAGGTATCTGAAGGTAACAACGATAATCCGCATGTACAGCACCGATTACGCTCGATATAGTTTTCGTTAATATGCCATTGTGTAACCTTGTTGCTGAAAGTGCGTGTAAATAACAAGCTATTTCTTCTTCATTAATACACCAGAATAGACCTGTGCAAGGTTGGCACTCCTACTCTTATCACATGTAAGGTATGTTATGTAAGTGCCTGATGTTATATAAGTGCGTGATAAAGCAACGGTGTCAACCTAAATAGATAAACCATTCAAAATTGCACAGGCCCGATATTTTTTTAATCTGCAGATACACACAGTCTGTATAAAGCCATACCAGATCGCAGATTCAGCGTGGAATTTATTCAGATAAGAAAAGTCTGAGACAATGAAGGTAGCGCTGTCAGCTCTCCTCCTGGTCACCACCTTCATATCCCACACAGCGGGAGTAGTCCACGTTCATGTCACAGTTACAACAACACACGCAGTTTCAATTACTGATGACTTGTTTGTTGGCGTAACACTGGACTCCAGTCTACTGCCCACCCCAAAGCATTGGGGAGGACTGGACCTCAAGTAAGTAGGCCGTCAATAGACTTCAAGTTACTGAAAGTTCTATTTATTTACATTTCAAAATGTGTTTTCTCAACACACTCATGCAGTAAACTACGTTTATATAGAACTTACAAATACATCCACGTGTTTGGATTTTGTTCCAGCCACCGTCTGAATTTTTTAGTCGAAACGAACTACATGTAACGAACTGCATGTAACGAACTACATGTAACAGACTGCATGTAACGAACTGCATGTAACGAACTGCATGTAACGAACTGTATATAGCGGACAGCATGTAAGGAACTGCATGTAACGGACTGCATGTAACGGACTGCATGTAACGAACTGCATGTAACGAACTGCATGTAACGAACTGTATATAGCGGACTGCATGTAACGGACTACATGTAACGGACTGCATGTAACCAACTGCATGTAACCAACTGCATGTAACGAAGTGTATATAGCGGACTGCATGTAACCAACTGCGTGTAACCAACTGCATTTAACCAACTGCATGTAACGGACTGCATGTGACGAACCTCATGTAACCAACTGCATGTAACAGACTGCATGTAACGAACTGCATGTAACGAACTGTATATAGCGGACAGCATGTAACGGACTACATGTAACTGACTGCATGTAACGGACTGCATATAACCAACTGCATGTAAAGAACTACATGTAACGAACTACATGTAACGGATTGCATGTAACGAACTACATATAACGGAATATATGTAACGAACTACATGTAACGGACTGCATGTAACGGACTGCATGTAACGAACTACATGTAACGGACTGCATATAACGGACTGCATGTAACGAACTACACGTAACGGACTGCATGTAAGGAACTACATGTAACGAACTGCATATAACGGACTGCATGTAACGAACTGCATGTAACGTTTCTAGGTCTGTGGTGTTTCAGCTCGTTGTTTCTGTCTCGACGCAAATATGCTTAAAGACGGTCACTGTTTGTGCCTTTGTTACGATGTTGTTTTCCTCCAGCTCTCACAAAGTTCGAACCCTGGCTAGAGGTTTGTCGCCATGCTATTTGAGGATTGGAGGCACTGCGGGGGACACCCTGACCTTTCTCCCTACAGGTCATGGCACAGTAGACAGCAGCCGTGCATTAACAGGTGCGTTGATCTTTTTATGATACATGTACTTTGTGGAGCTATGGTACTGCACATGTGCTTATCTGGGAGGCCAAACGCAGTAATCATACATTCACATTTCACAGCTGGGTGTATCTACTTCTATCTTGAGTATGGTTCGCCATGTTATAGTATTTTCATGCATTGGACCTGCATCTAAGAATTCCGTCATTATCACTGAAGCTGGATAATATCAGGTGCATCAAATATTAGAGCATCATAAGCAAATGTGATCTCACTGTCGTTAAGTATGTTGTGTCTGCAGGAGCTACCTGGGATGCTGCCAATAGATTTGTCCAGGATGTCAACTGGAAGTTAATATTTGGTCTGAACGTACTGAAGAGGAAGGATGGTCACTGGGATCCTTACAACGCACAAAAACTGCTGGAATACACCAAAGCAAAAGGGTACCACCTGGCAGGCCTTGAACTCGGAAATGGTATCAACATAACCATATGCATAGAAAGATGAAAACTGAAAGTTGCCATGATACTTCTGTAAAATGACTCGAATTCAATACAATGTGACAACTTGTAATTTTGTTTGCTGAATTTTAGAAATTGTGTCAATCATTTTCCACTTCTCTTCAGAATCAGGGCACAGTGCCCTCTATTAGGTCTCTGAAGAAAATAACATTTCTTCATATGTTCTCAGAAGTGTTAATTGTTACAGAACCTGACATATTCCTTGGGCAGCATAACATCACGGTGAGTGCCAGTCAGTTGGGACGGGACTACTACAACTTCAAGAAGCTGCTCCAATCGACGCCCGGGTATGAGAAAACACCAATATTTGGACCTGACATGACCTCTGTAACTCGATCAGGAAAATACTTGACTGAGTGAGTACAGCAGTGGGACGTACGACACTTTCTGAAATCTTTCTACCTGAAAAGTTGTGAAAAGTAAACACCATGAATGGAGGTGTATATGGCTATTGGAAAGTTGAAGTCATCCCTTGTCACACCTATTAGAGAGTTGTTTTTATTGGAGAGTATCAGTCTTTATGCATATAAACAGATGAAATAGTTGAGGCGATGTCATTCGTTTCCTTTAATACTTGTTCAGGTATGGCAGACCCCTTACGAGGATAATCTAATTAACGTTTTTCGAACGATATCACATCGTCACTTATTTTACAAATGTTATTACCTTGTTTTGATTTTACTCATCCCAGCATACATTCTGATTCATGACTGTGCATCGAAAGAAACCAATCTAAATATGGTTACCACTGGGGCGCCTAGTCATTGTCTAAATGTTTTTGCCCTAATTATCAATGAGGTAGGCCAGCATTTCAAATATTGATTTCTCAGTGTATAAGAAAAGAAAAAAGGAGGATCTATGCTCGCCATGTTTTGTAAGTATAAAACGTCAGTGCAAAGGGATATCCGATCTTCGCTATCCAGAGAAACAGAGTCCCTCAGGTACAAAAGCAAAATAATAATGAATATTTTATGATATGGACCACTGAAACTTAGTGATGACAGCAAGTGTTCGCGAAAACTATGAAGATGTCTTACCCTGTCGGTAGCACACTTTGATTGAAGAATGACTTAGAAATTCCTGTTAATTTATTAATATGACTACTGTGCAGAAATTCAATGATTCCGGGGCTTACAAGGAGGGACAATGTTGTATAAATTCATTTGTGTTACAACACAGAAGAGGTCAGCTTTAATGTAGTGGACCAGTCATTTCTTTTGTTACTGACTCGGCATTTATAGTGAGTGAGTGAGTTTAGTTTTACGCCGCACTCAGCAATATTCCAGCTATTTAGTGACAGTCTGTAAATAATCAAGCCTGACAACCCGATCCCTTTAGTCGCCTCTTACGACAAGCATGGGTTACTGAAGATCAATTCTAACCTGGACCTTCACGGGTCCTCGGCATTGATAAAATTTGGTGACACATAAAAGTGATAGTTGTCCAACACTACCAAGTCTTGACTATCAAACAAATGAGTCACATGTGGATGTTCATCACCGGGTGATGACATCAGTAGTGTCCTACCCATGTTCATGAATCCCCATTACTTCGTGATGATACCTAGTATCCTGCTCAATCGATGACACAATTCAGAAATACGCATGTCGTGCACATGGTCGCAAAGCTAATACCCAGGCATGAAAGGTATCTTCTTCTCAATAACAGGACCATGTCGTTGTAACACTGCAGAGCAATGTATTGTGGGCATTTTTACATTGTTTCTGTTAGGACTCAGTAGATGTTCACATGTTGTAACAGTAATTAGTTGCAAGGAAGGTATTACCCTGTCATGTGATCAGTGGTTTGGAAGTTACAATATATTAATAATTTTGGAATCAAGTGCAATCTGTAACCTCCTTAAACACCTACGGTCTAATCCAGCAAGATATGACAGTTTCTATAATATCTGGACCAGCGGAGAACTGTTTATGTTCACGTAAGACATCCAGCCTTGGTCTGTGTGGAAATGTTGACCAAAGTTTACAATGTTTAGAACGGGATATATATAATGGCCACTACATTACGTGACGATAATGCTCGACAATCGACACATGGACACCTAACATTTGACAGTTAATCACGCAGACTTCCCAGGTCATTCTTCTTTGTTTCCTCAGTTTCCTGAGAGCAGGAGGAGACAAGGCCGTGCACGGAATAACCTTTCACCAGTACGTGCAGTTATATTTGATATTCATGAATTGTTTGCTATTGCTTAAATACGTTTTCTGTATGGTTTAATATTCTAATCTTATTTCTTTCATACTTTCATACAGTTCCATTTAATGTGCCCTTGACTTACTGAAAGATCAACTAATTAATGTCTAATTACTGGAGTCCACATTTGTTAAATGAAAATGACATATAAATGATATGAAAATGACTTTCTGAAATATTGCCTGCTAGTATCTGTCGTGAAAGTTCACCATGGCACGCGTGGCCGTTGTTACCAAAAAGCCAAAACACTGGTTTGCAATGTTTCCAACTTGGCAAGGAAGATGCTAAACACTGTCAAACCCACCCTTGTTTCTTATAGTTACTACACCAATGGCCATACTGCACACCTCTCGGATTTCACCAATACCAAGTTGATGGACACACTGGTCAGTTACATACAGTCAGGGATAGATGTGTCAAGACACACAAACCCACATACCCCACTCTGGCTTGGAGAAACGTCCTCCTGTCATCATGGCGGTGCCCCGGGGATGTCCAACAGATACGTCGCTGGGTTTCTGTGCGTAAAACATGAGCTGAATATAACCACTATACACTTTGTACCTGAATCAACTATACTCGCATAATGAGTTCAAGAGTGAGTGAGTGAGTTCTGTATAACGCCGCTTTTTATCAATATTCCAGCAATATGATGGCGGGGGACACCAGAAATGGGCTTCACACATTGTACCCATGGGGGAATCAACCCCGGGTCTTCTGCGTGACGAGCGAATGCTTTAACCATTAGGCGACCCCACCGCCCCCTATTCACATAATGATGATCGATGGTAGTCCATGATAATTCTTCATAAGTGACATATACGAAATAAGTATTCCAAGATAAGATCTGCCTTCAGTTGTAAGAACGTTAGTTAAGTAAAATAACAGGGACTTACATTCAAATGCAACATCGACACCGCCTTTTGAAAGTGTACACTGTTCAGGTGGCTGGACAAGCTTGGTATTGCTGCCCGGATGGGGTTGAAAGGAGTTCTCAGACAGGACTTCTACGCCGGAACCTATGGACTGATTGACCACCAGACCTTTGATCCATTGCCTGTGAGTATGCAAGCGACCAGTTGTTCATGTGTGGATCAAATATCCAGTTTTCAAATATAGTGTTTAATTTTTACAAACGGACCAAGCCACAAAGTGAAACCTTTCTCAGAGGATGTGGCTGGTGTGTGTAAGGTAGGAATTGGGAAGGGTTGCGTCCACCTGCTGGGATATCGATGTACTGGGAATATCACACGCATGTAGCACCTAAAACAATCAATCAGCGAATGTCAATGACCAAATCTGATAGAATGTACCACAGTTTTGATTTTAAGACCAGTGGGGTGTGTTTCACTGAAAATTCAAGACTGACTAATCTGAAACCAGTTACATTTGATATTTTACGTATGCGTTTACTTTGGTCATGTATTTCAGTCATGACTCAGGCTATTAAAACAGGTGGTGAAACAACTCAAAGTGCAATTGATGTTATGCAATTGATGTTATGCAATTGATGTTATGCAATTGATGTTATGCAATTGATGTTATGCATGTATATCAAGGAATGAAACAATTACCCATCTTCAATGAATTTGATTAAATGTGATGCTTGGCTCCAAATGGTACAAGATTTCTGATGAGTCGTTAAAACATATAATCACTCACACACTTCATTGATGTTATATATTCTTGGTCATGTGGGCCAGCAGCAGTTTTCGCGATAACGATCAAAGATATTTATTTCTCATCATTGCCAAAGAAGATTGCACATGATGGCGCGTAACAGAATAAAACTAACGACACTGACGGAATTGAAATAATGAATAGATGTTACAATAATAAATAGTTAGGCAAATTCATTTCACAGGATAAAATACTGTAGGCAATAAATCAAGTAAACATTTAACATAACAAACTATATAATGGTAGTAGTGAATTCCAGCATTCCTATATTTTTATCTATATTAATGTAATGTAATGATAGTGTTTTATTCATGTCTTCAACTGCAGGACTACTGGTTAACTGTCCTCTATAAGAGACTGGTGGAAGGCGCCGTGCTTTCAGTAAACACGAACCATGGCAACAGCACCATCAGAGCCTACGCCCACTGCACAAAGCGATCCACGTAAATTCAACCCCTAAAATGCAGCCAGATATGAAAATGCACTAGCCTTTTTACACGTAGATTCATAACAAATATCTCCGTTGAATGCGATGGAGGTAGGGTCAGGTTAGATACCAAGAACTGTGGATCGGAATCAAAATTATTGATTTTACAAATAGGGCTGGATGAATAAGTGAGTGAGTTTAGTTTTACGCCGCACTTACCATTATTCCAGCTATATGGCGGCGGTCTGCAAGTAATAGAGTCTGAACCAAACAATCCAGTCATCAACAGCATGAACATCGATCTAACCAATTGGGAAACGGTGACATGTGTCAACCAAGTCAGCGAGCCTGACCACCAGATCCCGTTAGTCGCGTCTTACGACAAGCATGGGTAACTGAAGATCAGTTCTAACCCGGATCTTCACGGATGGATGAATAGATGGACGGACGTGTTTGTGCTGACTACTGGTACTGGGCTGGACAAACGCCGGTAACCTTTATCTCTATTCAAAATAATGCAATAAGAAAGAAAATGGGCAACTGAAGGTATACACCACACTAGATAGGATGGAAGCTAACAGCACTTTTGCTACCTACATTGGTCCCGGCTGGATTTACACCATCCCTTCAGCCCCTGGCTATAGTTAGCAAATTGAGCCAAATTTTCAATGACAAATATTCTACGTTTAAAATAGTGTTGGGTATAATATTATTTGGATGATGTGGACCAATGATACCCTTCTAGCGCAGTGAGATACCATGTCGCAATATATCGTGTATATCATATACACCTCAGACTACAAGGCAAACTGTACTTGTCTTATCCCCGTAATACCGAGCACCAGGCGGCGTAACAAAAAGTACCATATTTGCATGTGTTCTTATATGACCAGGCTGAGGAACAAAATGGACGCACAATCATTTTGCCAACAGTTTGTTTACATATTCCTTCATTTGTAAAGCATGTGTTAACATAGGTCTTCTTCCGTGCGTCATTAAGAATGAAACATACTCAATATAGAACATAGGAGTAAGACATAATAAGTTCAGATTCATGTTCATGCCAAGGGAAGCTGTCCTCTAATATTTAGTGTTGTGTTTTAGTTCCTATGGCTACGTGCCCGGCAGTGTGACGATGTACTTCCTGCTTCCCACGGATACCACTGCCTCCATTAACTTTCCACAATTTCCCGGCCAACACGTAGACGTGTTCTGGCTGAAGCCAGTCGATGGACTCACTGGCAGGTAAGTCCACCCTCCCCTCAACCTGAACGCCTTCTGGCTAGCTATTCTCGAAACGTTCCTAGCCCTACGAACTTCTTAAGCCCATTCGTAACACATTGGTTACGATCAAAGTTAAGAATTCTTAGGGCTACGAACGTTTCGAGAATAAGGGCCCTGGTTCGCATCCTTCAATAGCCACACGAGCAAATAATTCCTCCTGTCAACCGACAGACACTTTCAGGTCCACACCAAAAGGTAGACTAACTGCAGGGAATTTCCACAATGAGAGTTTAGATTGATGTTACGGGTGGTTATTGAAACTAATGTTCAATCAAGCAGGCTCTTTCTTCGAAACTTCCAGCGAGCGTCATAATTCAGTTGTCATTAAAGCTTTCACAAGTTGTGTATTAGACATGTGGAGGACCTTTCCTAATTTGTTGCAGGAGGGACAAAGATGTCCGATACAATTCTCAATTTAACATGTGCGATGGATTCCAGTGTTTTGTCATGCGTTTATGAAGAGCGCCACCTTCTTGAATATACCTAGCATGATCACCGTTCCATTATGATTCATAAACAAATCCTCATCATATAATGGGGATCTTACAATGGGATATGATAAAGGTTGCAACAATATACATAGATTGATTCAGTGTGTGCGAGTGAGTTTAACGTCACATGGACAATATTTCAGCCATATCGTGACGAGAACAATTTAATTTATATCAACATTAAGATCAATAAATGTAGAACATAAAAAATCTGTCATCGAAAGACAGTAAAACTAGTAGAGTATCACAGCTCTTAATTTAAAACTAGTACGCTATCATAAAAAAGATATCACTATAGACAACAATACTATATAGAAACGGTCTATAGATCACCAGCAACTGAAGGCTGATCACTATACTAGGGACCATTGGGCCTTACACTACTTTGGCTACCTGCATGGATCCTAGCTGGATTTATATCAACCATTCAGCAGCTGGCGATTTTGGTCAAGTTTAGCCAAACTTAAAATGACAAAAATGCTGCATTTAAAAATCTGGTAAATTTAAATTTCCTTTGAATGTTTCGGGACTTCCAGGAGGACAGATTGATTCAGAAATCCGAAAAAGGTGGATTCTTCCCTCGATGTATACATTGCTGTCATAAAGATTTCTGTTCGGAACAATATCTAAATATCTCATAGTTATTACGTGGAGTTTTATTTCAGGAAAGTGAGTCTCAATGGAAGGCTACTAACGTTAGTCAACGGCCAACTGCCTCATCTATCACCGAAGACTGTCACAACTGGATCAGTGACTGTCCCTGGAAAGTCATTCGGGTTCATTGTAATACCCCACGCTAATGCTGCAGCATGTAAATCACACGCTCACGTGCCCATAATTGGCTAGCTGTGGAAATGTAACTGGTCTTACAATAAATATTTTACCATATATATAGGGACGTTCATTGAAGATAGTAAAGATTGAGTACAAATTTAACGCCACATCAGCATTATTTCAGCCATCGAGGGAGCTGACCAACAGCAGGGGGGATTTAATCATAAAATAGTGGTTCATTCAAGTGACAACACTTTATAGGCAACAGCCTGGATAATGAAGTTGAGTGAGTGAGCGGTTTTACTCCGCTTTTAGCAATATTCCAGCAATATCACGGCGGCGGACACCAGAAATGGGTTTCACACATTGTACCCATGTGGGGAATCGAACCTGGGTCTTGGGTGTGACGAGCCAACACATTAACCATTAGGCTACCCCACCGCCCTTAATGAAGATGAAGCCTTTTGTTGTGCAATAACTAGCAGAGAACAAAATCGTTCATGAAGTATGATATATTTATTGAAACGAAACCGTAATTACAAAGCTGTGATGCAAATGAACATTCTCAGTGATAGATATGATTTATCTGGAAACATGTTCCCATGATAAAATCACAACAGACCGAGTTCTATTCATTTTCTGTGTTCACATGACGCAAGGTGTGGTTGATGTCGGATAGTTTTATTCAACTGACACCAGTTCTGCAGGTGTATAAGGCCACACCTTTCTTTGTAGAAAAAACATTACTCGGCATAAGCGATGTATTTGCGAATATGCATTTTGAGTTCGATTTTCCCTACGTGGACTGACACCTACACCCGTTGCTCAGCCAAGTAAAATCTGGCTGCCCATCGGAGAGAGACATTCTATCTTCCTTAACGTATGGCTATTTCTTATCAATTGAAATGTTTTTTAACGATTTCCGTCCAGGGGGGGTCCCATTTTCGCGACTCTTGTCGTTCGAGCGTTTGAGTTTATGAGGTGTATCAAGATATGAATCAAGCTTGAGCCAATTCACAAAATTTCCCACAACTGTTTCAGTTTTCTGTCTATCCATTCTTCTGTTCGTCACTGCTGCTGGTACTTTTTTCTCTTGAGTTTCGTCACGTCATGTTGTATGTCGTACACCCGCTTCCCTATGCTCTGTAAACCCACATGTTGCCACTTCTCGGCTTCCATGTTAGTGACATATGGCTTCCCACGATGATGTTTGACGGCAGGATCTCTACCCCCTTTCTGGGAGGCTAAGTTGACTCGTGTCTGATACGCTTTCTCTTTGGCTTATGGGCATTTTCCGGACACAAGGTTTAACATGTCATTGTAAATTATCTTATTTATGAGCACCCCACAGTCTGCAGAAGCCGTGGCCATAGTAGCTGTGACAGTAAAGAGTGAGTCTGTAAAATGGGTAGTTCATGCACATTTATAAGTATCATTGCATTTTTACCATGCTCTATTGCTGTAATCATTCTAGTATGCAAAGGTCGTGGTATAACTGGAATATGATCAAAGCAGTGTTAAAACCAACTCACTCGCTCAGTCACTCACTCACTCTAACACACAAATAGACGAGAATATACATCACAAAGTCTAACATAACTGTCAGATGCTTTTTTATTCTTTGAGGCCATGATGATTCACGAATCACAATCAATACAATAGGTTATCAACTACACAGTGGATTCCCAGCATCCACATTGTCATGTGATCATGTACTTTGGATATCAATCCACTTACACGTCTCGGCAGCTTTATCCGTGGTGGCCATGGCCTCCGTGACCGTGACCTCCGTGGCCATGACCTCCATGTCCATGACCATGGCCTCCATGTCCGTGACCACCATGTCCATGACCACCGTGTCCGTGACCACCATGACCGTGACCACTAGCCAAACCCAAAACGGCTGCCAGAGCTGGATAAAAAGCAAAAAACACACACCTTTTTACGCACGATTCTACTTTATATATTAAAAGCAGAGAAGGATCTTTCTTGGAAACAGAAGTAAAACACTTTCTTATGAGATATGTATAACACTGTAAAGCTCTCGACATGGCTGATTTTGGTGTTACAACATTCTCAAATCACACGCATTCACGTCCAGTTTATACAACTGCATGGAACATTGAATTTCCCTCCTTTTAATTTGGACAGATGAGACCATTAAAATCTTTAATGCATGATAACGGTATGAAGATACTAACCAAGGCCAAGAAGTGCGGCGAAGTTAGAGAACTGCATATTGTCTTGTAATGTCCTTCTGTGGTTAGTGAAAAACAACAACTGATAGCTGCTAGTTGTTTCGAACTTATATACCCAGCGATCGCGGAAATCGTAGAAAAATTATATCATAATGATATTATTGCATAAACCTGCTTTGTGACGCTTGTGGTGATGTCACAGTGGTTTTAGCTACCCACCAAGCACACCGCAGAGGTCTAAGGAAGCCTATGATTATTATCCCGCAATCTGTGCATGTGGTGATTTGCTGTCGATTAAATGTTTTCGTTTAAAACAAAGTTCAACCCATTTATCAAATATTTTAGACTGATCTCCACTATCCTCTCTTACCTTTGCTGGTACAAGAAAGATTTTAATTGTCTCTGTGACACGTATTCCATAAGATTTACTCACCTAATAAGCACAAAGTACACAAAGTAATTTCAACTAAGTAGACAACACCTAAACACTGGAGCATATCTGTAACAGCCCATGCCGAGATCATGGCGGGAGATGAATGCAAAAGTTTAAACGCTTCAGAAAAAAGTAAAATAGCAAAAAGTGCAGTTGAGGTGACAATTAATCATCTGCTTAATTTTTCTGATTTGTAAAGGTGTGCCGCATCACCATGTATGCACAGAACATGCTGTTACAGCTCTATAAAAGAGAGCGTGCACAGAGTTACTTTACATTTTCTGAGGTTTGCATTCATCAGAAACATCCAATATGCATGTTCTTAAAGTCGCAGTGCTCCTTGTAGCAGGTAAGCAGACCCCCGGGTACCCAGGTGTAAATGTAAACTAGTTAGCTTGTCTTATCGCTTGCCTAACAGTCTACATCATATGTGAGAACTGTCTTTTGACAGTCACTTTCAACATTTTAGTCAGGTAATACGAACGTGCTGACGTGCTAAAGTGTTTGGAACTTTTGTGAACTACATATAATGAGCTTTTTTCTCTTCCTGGCAGTTCTTGCTGCAGTGTTCGGAACAAGCATGGCCAAGGGTCATGGTGGTGGTCACGGTCATGGAGGTGGAAAGGGTCATGGTGGTGGCCATGGGGGTAAAGGACATGGAGGACATGGTGGCGGACATGGGGGCAAGGGCCACGGAGGCCATGGCGGTGGACATGGGGGCAAAGGGCATGGAGGCGGCCATGGAGGAAAGGGGCACCATGGATAAACCATGTAGATGGTAGGTACACGGTCACTTTGTTTTCCGACGAGCTAATCACGCGTTACGGAATGTACTCTTTCTCCAGAAACAGTCATTTTTATGAACAAAAAGATGTTCTCCGCCACTGTCAGTAGGAGTACCAATTGCAAGCCTGATAACTTTTGCCATTTCTTCATTTCAGAAAGGCGTGTGACAATGCAGCTTCTACATGTCATTCCACTGCTGCTGGACAACGGGGAAACAACTCAGAGAAAACATGATGATATTGTATTTTGTTTGATAAGACCTCCGAATAAAAATACACCCCGAGGTGTTGAATCTAACAAGACTTCATTTCTCTTGTATTTTCACCTGAGGATCACTAGCTTAAACCGATTTTGCATTGACAGCCAATGCCTTTAAGGGAGTCCAATTTGGCGTAAGACATTAATCAGGATTGCAGCTTTATCATCGCTGCTGACACATCTCTCTCACTCCATCTATCTATCCCTCTGTATCTCTGTGTGTCATCTGTCTCTCTCTCTCTCTCTCTCTCTCTCTCTCTCTCTCTCTCTCTCTCTCTCAGGAAACGTAACAACCAAACAACTTCAGTCTTATACGTGTCTCAGTTTATTATCCCAGTTTAATAAATGTATATCGACAATGTGCTCAGATGAGATTAAAACAATATGATGAAATGTCTTGGCTACGTTTCTGGGCTAGGGTTCAGTGACCTTGTGTTACATAGGCGATAAATCACACACATATGACACACCCGACGCATATACGAGTAGACAGTAATTGGGACTTGTCATGAGACACTCCTTTAGCTGATTAAACTGATTACAACTTCTAACCTAGCATGCTCTGTAACTGCAGTTAAACATGTTAGCCAACCCGAACCTTGCTTTTTGGGGGGAGTGGTTTTCACACAGTGTATCAAACAAGGATGTATCGTATCGCCAAATAAGATTGATTCTGTAAGCTGGTAGTTCATGTACATTCACTAAGTATTATTGTATTTTTACCATGCTCTATTGCTGTAATCAGTCTAGTATGCAAAGGTCGTGGTATAACTGGAATATGATCAAAGCAGTGTTAAAACCGACTCACTCGCTCAGTCACTCATTCAATCTAACACACAAATAGACGAGAATATATATCACAAAGTCTAACATAACTGTCAGATGTTTTTATTTATTCTTTGAGGCCATGATGATACACGAATCACAATCAATACAATAGGTTATCGACTACACAGTGGATTCCCAGCATCCACATTGTCATGTGATCATGTACTTTGGATATCAATCCCCTTACACGTCTCGGCAGCTTCACCCGTGGTGGCCATGGCCTCCGTGACCGTGACCTCCGTGGCCATAACCTCCGTGACCATGTCCTCCATGACCGTGACCACCATGTCCATGACCATGGCCTCCATGTCCGTGACCACCATGTCCATGACCACCGTGTCCGTGACCACCATGACCGTGACCACTAGCCAAACCCAAAACGGCTGCCAGAGCTGGATAAATAGCAAAACACACACACCTTTTTACGCACGATTCTACTTTATATATTTAAAGCAGAGAAGGATCTTTCTTGGAAACAGAAGTAAAACACTTTCTTATGAGATATGTATAACACTGTAAAGCCCTCGACATGGCTGATTTTGGTGTTACAACATTCTCAAATCACACGCATTCACGTCCAGTTTATACAACTGCATGGAACATTGAATTGCCCTTCTTTTAATTCGGACAGATAAGACCATTAAAAGCGTTAATGCATGATAACGGTATGAAGATACTAACCAAGGCCAAGAAGTGCGGCGAAGTTAGAGAACTGCATATTGTCTTGTAATGTCCTTCTGTGGTTAGTGAAGAAAAACCAACTGATAGCTGCCAGTTGTTTCGAATTTATATACCCAGCGATCGCGGAAATCGTAGAAAAATTATATCATAATGATATTATTGCATAAACCTGCTTTGTAACGCTTGTGGTGATGTCACAGTGGTTTTAGCTACCCATTAAGCACACCGCAGAACTCTAAGGAAGCCTATTATTATCCCGCAATCTGTGCATTTGGTGATTTGCTGTCGATTAAATGATTTCGGTTAAAACAAAGTTCAACCCATTTATCAAATATTTTAGACTGATCTCCACTATACTCTCTTACCTTTGCTGGTACAAGAAAGATTTTAATTGTCTCTGTGACACGTATTCCATAAGATTTACTCACCTAATAAGCACAAAGTACACAAAGTAATTTCAACTAAGTAGACAACACCTAAACACTGGAGCATATCTGTAACAGCCCATGCCGAGATCATGGCGGGAGATGAATGCAAAAGTTTAAACGCTTCAGAAAAAAGTAAAATAGCAAAAAGTGCAGATGAGGTGACAATTAATCATCTGCTTAATTTTTCTGATTTGTAAAGGTGTGCCGCATCACCATGTATGCACAGAACATGCTGTTACAGCTTTATAAAAGAGAGCGTACACAGAGTTACTTTACATTTTCTGAGGTTTGCATTCATCAGAAACATCCAATATGCATGTTCTTAAAGTCGCAGTGCTCCTTGTAGCAGGTAAGCAGACCCCCGGGTACCCAGGTGTAAATGTAAACTAGTTAGCTTGTCTTATCGCTTGCCTAACAGTCTACATCATATGTGAGAACTGTCTTTTGACAGTCACTTTCAACATTTTAGTCAGGTAATACGAACGTGCTGACGTGCTAAAGTGTTTGGAACTTTTGTGAACTACATATAATGAGTTTTTTTCTCTTCCTGGCAGTTCTTGCTGCAGTGTTCGGAACAAGCATGGCCAAGGGTCATAGTGGTGGTCACGGTCATGGAGGTGGGATGGGTCATGGTGGTGGCCATGGGGGTAAAGGACATGGAGGACATGGTGGCGGACACGGGGGCAAGGGACACGGAGGCCATGGCGGTGGACATGGGGGCAAAGGGCATGGAGGCGGCCATGGAGGAAAGGGGCACCATGGATAAACCATGTAGATGGTAGGTACACGGTCAGATCACAGACATTTGTAACTTTGTTTTCCGAATACGGAATGTATTCTTTCTCCACAAATAGTCATTTTAATGAACAAAAAGATATTCTCCGCCACTGTCAGTAGGAGTACCAAGCCTGCTAACTTTTGCCATTTCTTCATTTCAGAAAGGCATGTGACAATGCAGCTTTTACATGTCATTCCACTGCTGCTGGACAACGGGGAAACAACTCAGAGAAAACATGATGATATTGTATTTTGTTTGATAAGACCTCCGAATAAAAATACACCCCGAGGTGTTGAATCTAACAAGACTTCATTTCTCTTGTATTTTCACCTGAGGATCACTAGCTTAAACCGATTTTGCATTGACAGCCAATGCCTTTAAGGGAGTCCAATTTGGCGTAAGACATTAATCAGGATTGCAGCTTTATCATCGCTGCTGACACATCTCTCTCACTCCATCTATCTATCCCTCTGTATCTCTGTGTGTCATCTGTCTCTCACTCTCTCTCTCTCTCTCTCTCTCTCTCTCTCTCTCTCTCTCAGGAAACGTAACAACCAAACAACTTTAGTCTTATACGTGTCTCAGTTTATTATCCCAGTTTAATAAATGTATATCGACAATGTGCTCAGATGAGATTAAAACAATATGATGAAATGTCTTGGCTACGTTTCTGGGCTAGGGTTCAGTGACCTTGTGTTACATAGGCGATAAATCACACACATACGACACACCCGACGCATATACGAGTAGACAGTAATTGGGACTTGTCATGAGACACTCCTTTAGCTGATTAAACTGATTTCAACTTCTAACCTAGGATGCTCTGTAGCTGTAGTTTAACATGTTAGCCAACTCGAGCCTTGCTTTTTGTGGGGAGTGGTTTTCACACAGTGTATCAAACAAGGATGTATCGTATCGCCAAATAAGATTGATTCTGTAACTTGGTAGTTCATGTACATTCACTAAGTATTATTGCTTCCGGTTGTGCATGGTTCGAGCTTGACGTGTCTCGCCGGCTCTCGACACCCCATGGAGAAAATCCACCTAATCGTCAAACAAGAAGATATATTCTCGGCTATAAACTCCTAAAAGTGGCAAATATAGTGCTAAATCACAACCTACGATACATTTATCAACTCTTGAATTGTTATTTTGGTTATTTTAAACCAACTTCGAACCATGGCTGAGACACAACGCGTCACACGCACCATTTCTGGAGTGGAGGACATTATACTAGCATCTGAAAAGAGACTAGCCGACCTCATTAAAGCGACAAAACATGAGCTGCAAGATTCTATCGACTCCGTCAAAAGCGAACTTCAGGACATGAAAACTAAAGTAAGTGGACTCGAATTTGATGTCGCGAAACAGGACACTGAGTTGCAAAATCTCCGAACTGAGTTATGTGAGGAGAAGGAGAAGCGAGTTCGACTGGCGCGTCAACACATCCTCAAGGATATTCACGATAGAAAACAGAACCTCCTGTTTTACGGTATACCAGAATCTCCTCAAGAGAACACAGAGAGGGTACTGCGTGAGTTCATGGTTGAAAAAACTGAACTTCACCGAGCAGCGAGCATTTGACATGTTTTTCAAAATTGTGCATCGACTCCCAGTTTCTGAATACCAGAGGAAGCACAACGCAAACCCCACAAGGAGCATCATAGCCACCTTTACGTATATCCCTGACCGTGACGCAGTGTTCGACGCCAGGAAACTCCTCAGAAAGTCCGGTATAAGTATACAGACCGACCTACCACCCTTCTTGAAAAAAGAAACGCGCGAACCTGAGTCGTCAGGCTGCTTCCCTTCGTCAAGACACAGGCGTCTTGACACGAGTCAGAGTTGTGTCCTCCGAAGTGGTTCTGGAGACGCGTGACCCTAAGAAAGCTGGATCTCCATGGACCAGACATGACAATCAATAGATTATCGGTGACAATCATCCATGTTTTTTGTTGACATTCTGGAGGATACTATTTTCCTCTTACTATCAGTTCTAAAATACAAACTAGAAACATATTTTCTTCCAAAGAGACTTATCCATAACGGCAGCAATGACGTGTTGATAGTATTGTATAAATTTAAAGATAACAGCTCTATTCCGAGTCTGCTTTCTATATTATATGACAGAGGTTCAAAATCCATCATAAATCAGTTGTACTCCATGCGCTCTGAGCTATTTTTAGAATCTATACGCGTCTGAGTGTGTCGGGTTTACCGAGTGCGCGGGGCTAACGTGAGCACGTGAAACATGTCCTTTGTATGCGACATTGAAGCACGTGTTGGTGTTCGTTTTGGATCCTCAAGTATCGGAGTATGTTTTAGCGATACGTTTAGGATTCGCAAACTGTAAGTAACTTTGAAAACTTACTTCGTTTGTAAATACTTACCCATTCTAGCACCGATAAATACTAGGACAAAAATAAGGGAAAACATGTCACTGTTACAACACTCTCGAGCCATGTCATGCAATTTCTATACTTCGAATTTTATACAATACATATCATACTATGTACTTGAACTTTATTTCCCAAAAAATTAACTTGAATTAGGTTTGTTTCACGATTTGATTTCCTTAGTTCCTGGGGGCGGGCGATGGCCTAGTTGTCTTGGCGTTTTTATCGTTCCTCGCACCGAGGGCCTGAGTTCGGTTCCCCGCGTGGGTACGGCGTGTGGGGCCTATTTCTGGTGTTGCGGTGTCGAGCTAAAACTCGCTCAATCACTCACCTACTCACTTCTTAGTTCTTGTCTTAACCATGGGGCAGGCAGAGCCTTCTGCTCCTTCAGAGAAATTGCTCGTGGCAACCACGGAATTTTCTTTGTTCTTATTTTCTTTATTACCTTATGTTATAATAAAACAAAAAAACACTTTCACTTGGATACAGAAACACCATTTACGACCAGGCAAGTTACGATTACTCTAAGATTCTTTAACTATGGATACAAATAACAAAATTAGCATAGTTTCAGGTAATTGTAGAGGCCTAGCCGAAAAAGGTAAACGTAAAGAAGTCATGAATTCATATAGAAAAAAGAAATTCTCAATCATATGTTTACAAGACATACATATTTCTGCACAGTATGAGAACACAATGAGAAATGAATGGGGTTAAGAATGTGTCATTGCTCCATATAAGTCAAACTCAAGAGGTGTTGCCATTCTTCTAAATAATAATTTTGAATATGAAATACACAATGTCTCTAAAGACGAAAATGGAAATTACATAATTTTAGATATAACTGTTGACGACATAAGATTAACCCTTACAAATGTATATGGACCGAACTCTGATAGTCCTTCCTTTTATATATCTTTATTTGATAAGATTGTAAATATGGGTAACTATTCAATTGCAGTATGTGGAGATTGGAATCTTGTCTTAGACCCCTCCATAGACCTTGAAAACTATAAACACATTAATAACCCACAGGCTCGTAAGACTGTCTTGGACCAAATAGGCAATTTAAACTTAATAGACGCATGGAGAGAGTTAAACCCTAAAACAAAAAAGTATACATGGTGGAAAAAGAATCCTCGCCAACAAGCCAGATTAGATTTCTTCTTGGTAACTGAAGACCTCTTTAACATAAATAGTAATATATCCATCATACCTGGTTATAAAAGTGACCATTCTGCTGTAACGTTATCTTTATCAACACAAAAAAATAAGGAAAAGGGAAGCGGCTATTGGAAGTTTAACACATCATTATTGAGACGAGAGGAATATATAACACTAGTAATTGACTTACTTAATGAAACAAAACGAGAATACGCAGACCCTACATATTCAGATGAAGAATTAAACGAGATTAATGATGAACACTTACGTTTGACTATCAGTGACACTCTATTTTTAGAGACATTTTTAATGAAACTGAGAGGAAAATCCATCTCATACTCTTCATATCTTAAGAAAAGCAGAACTGCAAAATATAAAGAACTAGAGGAGAATATATGTCATATAGAAGATGAAATAAGAAGTAACTTCCAAAACGTTAATGAAACACTTCTTGCTGATTTATCTAAAAGTAAAATTGAATTGGAAAAAATAAAAGAAGACGAAATAAAAGGAATCCAAGTTAGAAATAGAATCCAGTGGTATGAAGAAGGGGATAAACCTACAAATTATTTTTGCCATTTAGAAAATAGAAACTATACAAACAAACTTATTAACTCCCTTATTCGTGATAATGGTGAAGAAATAGCAGATGGACGAGAAATAATAGTGGAACAAAAGCGATTCTATGAAAACCTGTATAAATCAAATTGCGACATAGATGAAGACATTAAAGCTGTATTCGAACATATTGCTACTCCTTCTTTAAATAAAGAACAGTCAAATAAACTAGAGCGTGATATTAGTATTGAAGAACTTTCACATGCTGTTAAATCAATGAAAAATAACAAAAGTCCAGGTTTAGATGGCTTCCCTATCAAATTCTTCAATTTTTTCTGGAAAAATCTGAAAATTTGGATTCACCGATATATAAAAGTAACTTTCAACCAGAATTCTATGACTACGACAATGAATAGAGGAGTAATTACATGTATCCCTAAGCCAGGTAAGGATAGAAGATACCTAAAGAATTGGCGACCTATCTCTCTCCTAAACGCATTGTATAAATTTATAAGTACTTGTATAACAAACAGGATTAAAAAAACTTTGAATTTTCTTATAAACGAAAATCAAACAGGATTCATTCCAGGAAGACGCATTACGGAAAACATTAGACTTTTCGATAATGAAAGGGGATGTGGACAGGGTGATCCCATATCTCCATATCTATTCTTATTGGTAGCAGAATTACTAGGAATAATGATCAGAGATAACCACAGAATAAAAGGAATTGTTTTAAACGACATCGAACATGTTATTGGTCAATATGCAGATGACACTGAATTATTTTTGGACGGTTCCGAAACCTCTCTTAATGAAGCAATGAAAACTTTGCTTTCCTTTTACAAGATGTCAGGTTTGAAAATAAATATTGATAACACAAAAGTAGTATAGCTAGGCTCAATGGCAGGTAGTAAAATAGTCCTATCCCAGGACTATAAGATGGATTGGCATAATGAGAATTTCGAAGTATTGGGAATCAAATTAAATGCTCATTTAGAAAACCTATGGGTAATTAATACAAAGAAGAGACTCGAAAATATAAAAAGAATTCTACTGAATTGGAAAAGACGCAATTTAACGTTGATAGGGAAAATAACCGTTGTTAAAAGTTTAGCTCTATCCACGATTGTCCACATCTTCTCTTCTCTCCCTAATCCCCCCAAAACATTTATTACTGATTTGAACAGATTATTCTTCAAATTTATATGGAATGATAAAATTGATAAAATAAAACGAATTAATTTAGTACGAAGGTACGAAGAAGGTGGTCTAAGAATGGTAGACGTGAAAACCTTTATCGACTCTTTAAAACTTTCATGTTTGAAGAGATATATTTCAAAACCTAAGAACTATGCTCTCGCCGCTTTCCCTCTACAAAACCTTCTTTTTTTAGGAGCCAACATCACAAAACATTATAATATTAAAAATCCATTTTGGAAAGATTCTCTTGATGCCTGGCATAGATATGTTCAAAGATCGGTATGTAACAATAACGACATTAATGAAATACTCATGCAGCCACTATGGTTAAATCACCAGTGTAACCAGCCAAGTTTGATCATTCATAACTGGATTAAATGTGGAATAGTTTATATGAAAGATATTTGTAACGACCACGCATTTCTACCATTTGCAGAATTTAAGGCAAAATTTGGTATTAAAGGTACTGTACTTGACTTAATCGTGTTCTCCTTAGTATACCCAAACAGTGGAAAGACGTTATACGAACAAATAACAATTTTAATATACCGTCGTTATCTATGTGCTCTCCTTGGAACGATTTGATTAAACCTAGTAAAGGTTCAAGGATATTCTATGATAATTTTATATCTGATTATAACATTCCGAATGTGTGTCTCAAATGGAACGGGGAACTAAATGAGTTGTTAAATTGGAAAACCATATTTTCACAATATAGACAATGCACTAAAGACACGAAACTCTTAGATTTTCAATATACGTTTTTGCATAGAGTTATTTACACTAAACGTGAATTACTAAAAATGAAATTGATAGATAATGACCTATGTACATTATGTGGTTCAGTAAGTGAGGATATTTACCATGTATACCTTGATTGTCAAACCATCAAAATGTTCTGGTCAGAATTTAACAATTTTATAACTCAAGTCCTTGGTAAAACGTATGAAATGTCAAATCATGATATTCTATTTTGTTGCAGTAGTAACCACTTACTCAACCACATGATACTATTGGCAAAGCGCCACATTTTCGTAATGAATATAAAAGGACACAAACCTAGCCTCACCATCTAGAGAACATTATTAAAAGATATCTACGAGATAGAGAAATTTATCGAGAAGAAAAACGATAATATGAAACATTTTTACAGAAAATGGAATGTCCTAGATGCAGTCCTGTAATTTATTTTTTAGTCTTTTAATTCTCTGTAATATTAGCTAGCATTTCAATTGTTAATCTATATTCCCAGTACCATCTGTTATAAACTGTCTGCTTTTTATTATGCAACCTGTACCATTCTACTCTACCCACATATCTTGTTCAAATGTAACCAAGTAAAGTGAATAAAAATACTTTACAAAACAAGTATTATTGTATTTTTACCATGCTCTATTGTTGTAATCATTCTAGTATGCAAAGGTCGTGGTATAACTGGAATATGATCAAAGCAGTGTTAAAACCAACTCACTCGCTCAGTCACTCACTCACTCTAACACACAAATAGACGAGAATATATATCACAAAGTCTAGCATAACTGTCAGATGTTTTTATTTATTCTTTGAGGCCATGATGATACACGAATCACAATCAATACAGTAGGTTATCGACTACACAGTGGATTCCCAGCATCCAGAATGTCATGTGATCATGTACTTAGGATATCAATCCCCTTACACGTCTCGGCAGCTTCACCCGTGGTGGCCATGGCCTCCGTGACCGTGACCTCCGTGGCCATGACCTCCGTGACCATGTCCTCCATGACCGTGACCACCATGTCCATGACCATGGCCTCCATGTCCGTGACCACCATGTCCATGACCACCGTGTCCGTGACCACCATGACCGTGACCACTAGCCAAACCCAAAACGGCTGCCAGAGCTGGATAAATAGCAAAACACACACACACCTTTTTACGCACGATTATACTTGTTATATTAAAGCAGAGAAGGATCTTTCTTGGAAACAGAAGTAAACACTTTCTTATGAGATATGTATAACACTGTAAAGCTCTCGACATGGCTGAGTTTGTTGTTACAACATTCTCAAATCACACGCATTCACGTCCAGTTTATACAACTGCATGGAACATTGAATTTCCCTCCTTTTAATTTGGACAGATGAGACCATTAAAATCTTTAATGCATGATAACGGTATGAAGATACTAACCAAGGCCAAGAAGTGCGGCGAAGTTAGAGAACTGCATATTGTCTTGTAATGTCCTTCTGTGGTTAGTGAAAGGAAAAAACTGATAGCTACCACTTGTTTCGAACTTATATACCCAGCGATCGCGGAAATCGTAGAAAAATTATATCATAATGATATTATTGCATAAACCTGCTTTGTAACGCTTGTGGTGATGTCACAGTGGTTTTAGCTACCCACCAAGCACACCGCAGAGCTCTAAGGAAGCCTATTATTATCCCGCAATCGGTGCATGTGGTGATTTGCTGTCGATTAAATGTTTTCGTTTAAAACAAAGTTCAACCCATTTATCAAATATTTTAAACTGATCTCCACTATACTCTCTTACCTTTGCTGGTACAAGAAGATTTTAATTGTCTCTGTCACACGTATTCCATAAGATTTACTCACCTAATAAGCACAAAATACACCAAGTAACTTCAACTAAGTAGACAACACCTAACAACTGGAGCATATCTGTAACAGCCCATGCCGAGATCATGGCGGGAGATGAATGCAAAAGTTTAAACGCTTCAGAAAAAAGTAAAATAGCAAAAAGTGCAGTTGATGTGACAATTAATCATCTGCTTAATTATTCTGATTTGTAAAGGTGCGCCGCATCCCCATGTATGCACAGAACATGCTGTTACAGCTTTATAAAAGAGAGCGTGCACAGAGTTACTTTACATTTTCTGAGGTTTGCATTCATCAGAAACATCCAATATGCATGTTCTTAAAGTCGCAGTGCTCCTTGTAGCAGGTAAGCAGACCCCCGGGTACCCAGGTGTAAATGTAAACTAGTTAGCTTGTCTTATCGCTTGCCTAACAGTCTACATCATATGTGAGAACTGTCTTTTGACAGTCACTTTCAACATTTTATTCAGGTAATACGAACGTGCTGACGTGCTAAAATGTTTGGAACTTTTGTGAACTGTACATATAATGAGCTTTTTTTCTCTTCCTGGCAGTTCTTGCTGCAGTGTTCGGAACAAGCATGGCCAAGGGTCATGGTGGTGGTCACGGTCATGGAGGTGGAAAGGGTCATGGTGGTGGCCATGGAGGTAAAGGACATGGAGGACATGGTGGCGGACACGGGGGCAAGGGCCACGGAGGCCATGGCGGTGGACATGGGGGCAAAGGGCACCATGGATAAACCATGTAGATGGTAGGTACACGGTCACTTTGTTTTCCGACGAGCTAATCACGCGTTACGGAATGTACTCTTTCTCCACAAATAGTTATTTTTATGAACAAAAAGAGGTTCTCCGCCACTGTCAGTAGGAGTACCAATTGCAAGCCTGATAACTTTTTGCCATTTCTTCATTTCAGAAAGGCGTGTGACAATGCAGCTTCTACATGTCATTCCACTGCTGCTGGACAACGGGGAAACAACTCAGAGAAACATGATGATATTGTATTTTGATTGATAAGACCTCCGAATAAAAATACACCCCGAGGTGTTGAATCTAACAAGACTTCATTTCTCTTGTATTTTCACCTGAGGATCACTAGCTTAAACCGATTTTGCATTGACCGCCAATGCCTTTAAGTGAGTGTAATTTGGCGTAAGACATTAATCAGGATTGCAGCTTTATCATCGCTGCTGACACATCTCTCTCACTCCATCTATCTATCCCTCTGTATCTCTGTGTGCCTTCTCTCTCTCTCTCTCTCTCTCTCTCTCTCTCTCTCTCTCTGTCTCTCTCTCTCAGGAAACGTAACAACAAATCAACTTCAGTCGCATACGTGTCTCAGTTTATTATCCCAGTTTAATAAATGTATATCGACAATGTGGTCAGATGAGATTTAAACAATATCATGACATTTCTTGGCTACGTTTCTGGGCTAGGGTTCAGTGACCTTGTGTTGCATAGGCGATGATCACACACATATGACACACCTGACGCATATACGAGTCGACAGTAATTGGGACTTGTCATGAGACACTCCTTTAGCTGATTAAACTGATTACAACTTCTAACCTAGCATGCTCTGTAGCTGCAGTTAAACATGTTAGCCAACTCGAGCCTTGCTTTTTTGGGGGAATGGTTTTCATACCGTGTATCAAACAAGGATGTATCGTATCGCCAAATCACAGGCTATACGCTCTTGCTGTGACACTTAATATTGATTCTGTAACTTGGGTAGTTCATGTACATTCACTAAGTATTATTGTAGTTTTACCATGCTCTATTGCTGTAATCATTCTAGTATGCAAAGGTCGTGGTATAACTGGAATATGATCAAAGCAGTGTTAAAACCAACTCACTCGCTCAGTCACTCACTCACTCTAACACACAAATAGACGAGAATATACATCACAAAGTCTAGCATAACTGTCAGATGTTTTTATTTATTCTTTGAGGCCATGATGATACACGAATCACAATCAATACAATAGGTTATCGACTACACAGTGGATTCCCAGCATCCAGATTGTCATGTGACCATGTACTTTGGATATCAATCCCCTTACACGTCTCGGCAGCTTCACCCGTGGTGGCCATGGCCTCCGTGACCGTGACCTCCGTGGCCATGACCTCCGTGACCATGTCCTCCATGACCGTGACCACCATGTCCATGACCATGGCCTCCATGTCCGTGACCACCATGTCCATGACCACCGTGTCCGTGACCACCATGACCGTGACCACTAGCCAAACCCAAAACGGCTGCCAGAGCTGGATAAAAAGCAAAAAACACACACCTATTTACGCACGATTCTACTTGTTATATTAAAGCAGAGAAGGATCTTTCTTGGAAACAGAAGTAAACACTTTCTTATGAGATATGTATAACACTGTAAAGCTCTCGACATGGCTGATTTTGGTGTTACAACATTCTCAAATCACAAGCATTCACGTCCAGTTTATACAACTGCATGGAACATTGAATTTCCCTCCTTTTAATTTGGACAGATGAGACCATTAAAATCTTTAATGCATGATAACGGTATGAAGATACTAACCAAGGCCAAGAAGTGCGGCGAAGTTAGAGAACTGCATATTGTCTTGTAATGTCCTTCTGTGGTTAGTGAAAGGAAAAAACTGATAGCTACCACTTGTTTCGAACTTATATACCCAGCGATCGCGGAAATCGTAGAAAAATTATATCATAATGATATTATTGCATAAACCTGCTTTGTAACGCTTGTGGTGATGTCACAGTGGTTTTAGCTACCCACCAAGCACACCGCAGAGGTCTAAGGAAGCCTATTATTATCCCGCAATCGGTGCATGTGGTGATTTGCTGTCGATTAAATGTTTTCGTTTAAAACAAAGTTCAACCCATTTATCAAATATTTTAGACTGATCTCCACTATACTCTCTTACCTTTGCTGGTACAAGAAGATTTTAATTGTCTCTGTCACACGTATTCCATAAGATTTACTCACCTAATAAGCACAAAATACACCAAGTAACTTCAACTAAGTAGACAACACCTAAAAACTGGAGCATATCTGTAACAGCCCATGCCGAGATCATGGCGGGAGATGAATGCAAAAGTTTAAACGCTTCAGAAAAAAGTAAAATAGCAAAAAGTGCAGTTGATGTGACAATTAATCATCTGCTTAATTATTCTGATTTTAAAGGTGCGCCGCATCCCCATGTATGCACAGAACATGCTGTTACAGCTTTATAAAAGAGAGCGTGCACAGAGTTACTTTACATTTTCTGAGGTTTGCATTCATCAGAAACATCCAATATGCATGTTCTTAAAGTCGCAGTGCTCCTTGTAGCAGGTAAGCAGACCCCCGGTACCCAGGTGTAAATGTAAACTAGTTAGCTTGTCTTATCGCTTGCCTAACAGTCTACATCATATGTGAGAACTGTCTTTTGACAGTCACTTTCAACATTTTATTCAGGTAATACGAACGTGCTGACGTGCTAAAATGTTTGGAACTTTTTGTGAACTGTACATATAATGAGCTTTTCTCTTCCTGGCAGTTCTTGCTGCAGTGTTCGGAACAAGCATGGCCAAGGGTCATGGTGGTGGTCACGGTCATGGAGGTGGAAAGGGTCATGGTGGTGGCCATGGAGGTAAAGGACATGGAGGACATGGTGGCGGACACGGGGGCAAGGGCCACGGAGGCCATGGCGGTGGACATAGGGGCAAAGGGCATGGAGGCGGCCATGGAGGAAAGGGGCACCATGGATAAACCATGTAGATGGTAGGTACACGGTCACTTTGTTTTCCGACGAGCTAATCACGCGTTACGGAATGTACTCTTTCTCCAGAAATAGTCATTTTTATGAACAAAAAGAGGTTCTCCGCCACTGTCAGTAGGAGTACCAATTGCAAGCCTGATAACTTTTGCCATTTCTTCATTTGAGAAAGGCGTGTGACAATGCAGCTTCTACATGTCATTCCACTGCTGCTGGACAACGGGGAAACAACTCAGAGAAAACATGATGATATTGTATTTTGATTGATAAGACCTCCGAATAAAAATACACCCCGAGGTGTTGAATCTAACAAGACTTCATTTCTCTTGTATTTTCACCTGAGGATCACTAGCTTAATCCGATTTTGCATTGACTGCCAATGCCTTTAAGTGAGTGTAATTTGGCGTAAGACATTAATCAGGATTGCAGCTTTATCATCGCTGCTGACACATCTCTCTCACTCCATCTATATCTATCCCTCTGTATCTCTGTGTGCCTTCTCTCTCTCTCTCTCTCTCTCTCTCTCTCTCTCTCTCTCTCTCTCTCTCTCTCTCTCTCAGGAAACGTAACAACAAATCAACTTCAGTCGCATACGTGTCTCAGTTTATTATCCCAGTTTAATAAATGTATATCGACAATGTGGTCAGATGAGATTAAAACAATATCATGACATTTCTTGGCTACGTTTCTGGGCTAGGGTTCAGTGACCTTGTGTTGCATAGGCGATAAATTTCACACATATGACACACCCGACGCATATACGAGTCGACAGTAATTGGGACTTGTCATGAGACACTCCTTTAGCTGATTAAACTGATTACAACTTCTAACCTAGCATGCTCTGTAGCTGCAGTTAAACATGTTAGCCAACTCGAGCCTTGCTTTTTTGGGGGAGTGGTTTTCATACCGTGTATCAAACAAGGATGTATCGTATCGCCAAATCACAGGCTATACGCTCTTGCTGTGACACTTAATATTGATTCTGTAACTTGGGTAGTTCATGTACATTCACTAAGTATTATTGTAGTTTTACCATGCTCTATTGCTGTAATCATTCTAGTATGCAAAGGTCGTGGTATAACTGGAATATGATCAAAGCAGTGTTAAAACCGACTCACTCGCTCAGTCACTCACTCACTCTAACACACAAATAGACGAGAATATACATCACAAAGTCTAGCATAACTGTCAGATGTTTTTATTTATTCTTTGAGGCCATGATGATACACGAATCACAATCAATACAATAGGTTATCGACTACACAGTGGATTCCCAGCATCCAGAATGTCATGTGATCATGTACTTTGGATATCAATCCCCTTACACGTCTCGGCAGCTTCACCCGTGGTGGCCATGGCCTCCGTGACCGTGACCTCCGTGGCCATGACCTCCGTGACCATGTCCTCCATGACCGTGACCACCATGTCCATGACCATGGCCTCCATGTCCGTGACCACCATGTCCATGACCACCGTGTCCGTGACCACCATGACCGTGACCACTAGCCAAACCCAAAACGGCTGCCAGAGCTGGATAAAAGCAAAAACACACACCTATTTACGCACGATTCTACTTGTTATATTAAAGCAGAGAAGGATCTTTCTTGGAAACAGAAGTAAACACTTTCTTATGAGATATGTATAACACTGTAAAGCTCTCGACATGGCTGATTTTGGTGTTACAACATTCTCAAATCACACGCATTCACGTCCAGTTTATACAACTGCATGGAACATTGAATTGCCCTCCTTTAATTTGGACAGATGAGACCATTAAAATCTTTTTAATGCATGATAACGGTATGAAGATACTAACCAAGGCCAAGAAGTGCGGCGAAGTTAGAGAACTGCATATTGTCTTGTAATGTCCTTCTGTGGTTAGTGAAAGAAAAAAACTGATAGCTACCACTTGTTTCGAACTTATATACCCAGCGATCGCGGAAATCGTAGAAAAATTATATCATAATGATATTATTGCATAAACCTGCTTTGTAACGCTTGTGGTGATGTCACAGTGGTTTTAGCTACCCACCAAGCACACCGCAGAGCTCTAAGGAAGCCTATTATTATCCCGCAATCGGTGCATGTGGTGATTTGCTGTCGATTAAATGTTTTCGTTTAAAACAAAGTTCAACCCATTTATCAAATATTTTAAACTGATCTCCACTATACTCTCTTACCTTTGCTGGTACAAGAAGATTTTAATTGTCTCTGTCACACGTATTCCATAAGATTT